ACACACAACCACAAGCACACAACCACAAACACACAACCACAAACACACAATCAAAAAGACACAGCCACAGCCACAACCACAACTACAAACACACAATCACAGCCACAAACACAACCACAAACACACAGCCACAAACACAACCGCAAACACATCCACAAACACACAATCACAAACACACAGCCACAAACACGCAATCACAAATCACAAATACAACCACAACCACAACACAGCACCAACCACAACCACAACACACAACCACAGCACACAACCCGAGGACCCACAAGCAAAATCGAGAACTACAATACTCACGACCATGGCAACATGCTCCTCACTATGGCATACACAACCACAGCCTCAACGACAAAGACGCAACCACAAGCACAACCACAAACAACGAAACCACAAACACACAACCACAAACACACAGCCACTACCACTACCACTACCACTACGACTAATAAACTTCTGGAGAGCGGGTGGTCATGGGGCCTGGGTTTTGGTTTTCCCAAAATTTTTGGTAAATGCTTCAGTGGCAGCCCCTCTCCATATAAACACACATATATATATAATCTATTCCTGCTCTCTCTATATGAAGACATATATTATGTATTCTTGAGTCAGGGTCATTTTATTGTTTTGGAAGCAGCAAGCAGTCATTCAGATGGTTTTGAGCAAGATAATTAGGAAAGAAGCAGACCATAAAAGTGTCTATTTTAACAATTGTCCTCTGGATCTCTGCTTGTATTATAATTATGTTTAGATTTGGAAAGATTGTATATAGACGCTTTTATGTTATAAAAGATTCTCTATAGATCTTTGCAGATAATCGTTTTTAGATTTAAACAACTATATAGAAACCTTGTATGTTAAAAGCTTTCTTCTAGATTTCTCCGGGTAAGAGCTTGCATTTTCAAAGCTGTCGTCTGGATCTCTGGGAAAGTAGATATCCCATCTATGTGTGTTTTTATGAAAGGAAAGCTCTTGAAAGAACAACTTATCTATTGATATATAGCATATTTAAATTGACATGACCATTTCCAGAGATCCAGAGGAAAGCTTGAGAAATGAAAGCTTTTATGTATTTTTATTGTAGAAATGATCATCCCCAGAGATCTAGAGGGAAGCTCTTGACTTAGAAGCTTGTACATAAGACATGTTTAATAGGTCTATATTATCTCCAGTGATGCTGTAAATCAATAAATCCAACTATGTACTCAAAAAAAGAGTTTTGGTCTTGTTCCCAGCACTCCCAGGGCAAAAAATACTGTAAAACACGGGGTTTTGCAGCATGTGTTTTCTTAAACTACATAGACTAGAGCTATCATAGAATTAGATAGAGCTAAATTGGATTTGAGTTAGAGCTAAGATAGAACTGAATTAAAACCGAATTTCAAATAAACTTGTATTGAACTATAACTATAACCTATTTAAACTTAGATGAGAGTTGAATTAGAAAGGAATTGGAATTAAAATTAGAAGTTCGCCAGAATAAGATGTAAAACGCTTGAGCTACAAGATGCACAAATCGAGGAGGCTTCGAAATTACAAAGCCGAAGCAAATGCAACAAGCATTGAATTGGAACTACAGCTTACACAGATTCATAACAGTTTCATGTAAATTGGAAGGTGTCATTACAGTTTCATGTCAAGCTGGTTGGACATGCAATTGGCAACAGCATTGATACCAGTCAGCAGTTAATGCACTCAGACTTGTATATGGAGATGTGGACAAGGACACAGGAAGTGTTGAGCTCAGACGGTTTCAGATGTAAGCAAAAAGAACAGATGCCTTGAGATGAGAAGTAAGCTCAGATGCTAAAACACAAAAATCTTGGGAAAACCGAAAGAAAACAATTCTCAGAGACTCTTGGCTGGACCCCCCAAGATCAGAAAAAACAAAAAACAAAAAAACAATTCTGAGAGACTCTTGCCTGGACCCTCTTTTCCTCAAGACTTCCCCAGAATTGTTTTTTTGTGTTTTTGTTTTCCCAAGGGTTTTTGGTTTTTTGGTTTTTCTGATTTTGGGGGGTCCAGCCAAGAGTCTCTGAGAATTGTTGTTTTTTTGTTTTCCCATTTTTTCTTTTTCTTATGTGTTTTTGATCCTTTATGCATATTTATGAGTGTTTTTTAGTCGTGACTGTGGCACCAATGCATTTATCTAGCATTTACCTAAAATTTATGGAAAACTCAAACCCAGGCCCCATGGCCACCCCTTCTGAATAACAAAAATAGTAGTACTACTACTTGGGCCACCCAGTACTACTGAAATGATCTGAGGTGTATTATTAGTTGGGCGCAGGTCTCCTGATGAAAGCATTCGCTTCGGACAAAACAGTAAGACTTGGCGCTGAAGGACTTGTGCTATGGGCTGAAATACACAACAAGTTTGATGTCAACGTGGTTGTTTTGAAATGCCATGGTGGGGATCACTCGAAGTAAAGTAATTTTTTCGTTTCAACCCTTGGCGCTCAGACTGACTCATATATTTAGATATATTCAATGAATCAATGCCATTCAGCACCACCCCTGAGTGTTTGAAAACCTGCTCCGCAATGGTAACATTTATACTTTAGACACCTTTAGGCCTTTAGCCTTTAGGCTCTAGGCCCGTGCAGGTCCCTGTCCCCAAACCACATCTTTCCAGTTCCTTTTCCCTGGTTCCCTTTCCCCACTTGCCCCCGACAGTTTCTTGTACCATCAGGTTTCCTTTCTCGAAATCCTCTCGTCAGTTCGCTCTCCGCAGGTCCCTGTCCCCAAACCACACCCTTTGAATCCCTTTAAGCACCCCTTAAGCCCACCCTAAAGCCACCCCCTTTAGCCACCCCCTTAAGCCTCCCCCTTAAGCCACCCCTTAAGCCCCCCTTAAGCACCCCTTCGACCGAAGACCTCAAGCCTTCGGCGAAGCCCCCCTTAAGCTCACCCCCCTTAAGCCACCCTTAAGCCCGAAGACCTTCGACCTTCGGCGAAGCCCCCTTAAGCCACCCCTTAAGCACCCCCTTAAGCCCCCCCCTTCGTCCAAAGACCTTAAGGGGTCTAGACTCGGCCTTAACTCTCAAAAAGTCAGTGTCACAATTTCAAAAATGAATTTTTTCTGTTCAATTGCAGTTGGACTAGCAATGACTTGCTTCACTGTGAACAGACTCTGACACAGTACAGTTGACTCTGGCTCAGTGCTCTGACTCAGTGGCTCAGCTACTGCAGACCCTGAGGTCACAAGCTGCGCAAGGTGGTTATTTCCACCACTGGACTGCCCATACTGGAAATCCCTTGGTGGGGTGGGCAACGCTCGTGGTGAAGAGCGAGAAGCGGGCGTCAACGTGGTGTCGGACCCGATGGATGACCTTTAAGACTTCGCGATCGCCAGCTGTGTTGACGCGCTGCCCGCCGCCTGCGTTCGCGTTGAGTGCCGGAACCCAGCGATGAAAGGCCGATTCGGGCAGCAGCCCGTCGGCGAGTTGAGTCTTCTCTACCACGCCAGAAGCGTGTCCGTCGGACCCGCCCAATGTGTGGTCCGATGAGCTCTTCGCTAGCCATGCCATGGGTGGCAGTGTGCCTTAGGTCCGTGTCGGTGAAGCCGGACATGATCTTCAAAGAGGCAGCACACCTGCTCCGAGGCCAGCTGCAGTGAGCTGTGCGTTGCCAGAATCAGGCGGTTGGATGAAAGGTCCTGCACCAGCAGGAAGTTAACCAGCCAGAATTCCGGGACGCCGTCATAGGATGAGCCATGGGCCAACTGGCCCAAAACTGCGTCAACAGCGAGCATGAACGGATCCACCTGGTTGGTCGCTCCAGCAGCGATCGGAACAGGTCGCTCGGCTGCTGGGCAGGTTTGGAACCCAGTTGCAGTGATGCTCTCGTACAGGTGCTGCAGGTGCAGTCCATCGGTACCGTCATTCTGGGTGAACTCCGAGGCTGGGATTCAGAGTCGAGTTCGGAATAGGTGAAACTTCAATACATAGACATGTTCATGGTTGATGTAGCGCCGCTGATCCCGCCTCTTCCTCCGGTGCATGCAGGACTGGACTAGCGTCCAAAAGCAACAGGTTGCTTCAAGCTTCATATCTGCCCTCATGATACAGTCCCAGGCGCGAGGCCGCCGAAGTGGCATTCCAAAATCTCGAGGGTCCAACGTTTCATGCTCCATGTGGTAGCCCAAATCCCCCAAAAGACGCTCAAAGACTGACGAATCAAACTTGGAAGAATTCTAAGGGAGACCTTGGGCCGCAGCCTGCGAACTGATGCTAATGCGATGCCAAACAGTGGCATCCACTTTCCAGAGAACCCAGATTCTGATGCCATGGGGCTCCAATCCTTGCACACTGATCCAGCCAACATCGCTGACAAGGAAGCTGCCGTTCTGATTCACATTGCATGCTGCAATGAATTTGTTCACCAACAGAGAAAACGTCTCGTGCTCTATGTTGCCCACTGTCAGCTCGCCCAAGCGCTTGAGCCGCAAATCGATAAAGCTTTGCAAAGCGTCATTGCGCCGAGCCAAGGGATGGACTCCACTGCTTTACGACTGCAGAAAATTGGACAGCATGAGGTCTTAAGAATTCTTGATGCCGCCGGCGCAGCAAGTGGAACTCTGAAAGTGTCGGAACGAAGCCACCTAGCAGGCACACCGTCACCACTGGCATTGGCGGGTGGAGCTGGTCCAGCTGGTGCTGCCGCAGCACCAGGCTCAGTTGGTGGGGTGGGCTCTGCCGCCCGAGTGGCAGGAGGTGGAGCAGCTGCGGCGGCCGGGAGTGCAGTCAAAGAAGCAAAGTCACTGCCTGCTAAGCCAGCCCTCATGTACTACCAGGTTTGGGCTGGTGTGTGGCCTTGACAGGGCGGGAGGTCACTTTAACCGTTTCCCCCCGACAGAGTCTCGCTGATGTCCGCCAATGTACCCTTGGACTCCCTGCTGCCTGCCACAAAGGCTTCCACAAGTTCACCTTCCACAACTACACATAAAGGCCTTCAAAAAGTCACCTTCCACAGCTTCACAGCCATTTTGTGGCCAGCCTCGCTGCCACAAAGGCCTCCACAAGTTCACCTTCCACAGCTTCACTGCCATACAAAGTCATCTTCCACAGCTTCACTGCCATCAAGTGGCCTTCACAGTGCGCAAGTTCACCTTCCAGGCAATTGTGCAGTGGTCCAAAGGAACATGTGATGCGTGACCACTGAATCCACAAACCGGTGTGCAATCTCCGAATGGGATGTGAGCACTAGCGCGAATGTGGTTTTTGGATGAAGATTCTGCAAGATGTTGTGTGCAGTTTCAACGCTGTGTCTTTTTTGGCTTTCCAATGGAGAGTGCCTGGCAAACGACCTTAACGACCTTCGTTTGCTAATGATTGCAGCAGCGAGGTTTAGTGAAACTGTGTGTGAGTGAGTTTGACTTTCACGAAACTGCCAGATACACCCCAGCCCCATCGTGATGCCTCATGACAGTGCAGTTCAAATCATGAACACTCAACCACAGTGGCTTTCACAAGCTCAAAATATGGCTTTCAATTGCCCCTGGTAGTGAGTTGTGGAAGGTGAACTTGTGCTTTTTGAAGGCCACTTTATGGCAGTGAAACTGTGGAAGGTGAACTTGTGCACTGTGAAAGCCACAATATGGCAGTAAAACTGACTCTGGTCGTCGTCGTTTTCCAACCTTGGGGCGAAATCTGCCAAGACATCTTGGGGGATGCGCTCTTGAAGTGCAAGCTGAAAGACTTGATTGTTGGAATGGTTTTTCTGCCAGTCAATCGTAAAGAAAGCTGAAAGAGGTTCAATCTTTCGCTGCTGAGCATCTTTGCCAAAACATGATCTGGTGTCCAAAGGCATTTTTGCCCACTCTGCCCAAGCCTCTCTGGCGAAAGTGTTTTTTCAATCGGCCGAAAAGACCTTCAACAGCATCTGTCCGGAATCTCGATGAGCACAATTCCCTGTGGCCTTCCTGTCAAGAAAGCCCGTGACAATGGTCTTGTTTCCAGCCGTTGCGTGGCCACGGAGCCCGCCTTTCGCTGTTTTCTTTTTGATAAATATGTTTCGTCAATGACCACAATGCTGGGCGGCCTCACCACAGGCGGCTGTGCTGCACAAATTGGCACAGGCACCGGCTGCACCGGTTTTGCTGTAGCCTTTGCTTTGGAAAAGATCTGCAAACTGGATGAGGCATGACTGCGCTGGTCCTGAACACGACTGTGCTCTGAAAACGAACGTGCTCCCTCCTCGTCCACCTTGTCTGTGTGCCTGCCAACCTCGGCTATAGTGCTGGATTGGGACACTCTGCCGGCGGTCCCACAAGAGTGTCCCACAAGAGTGTCCGACAAGAGTGTCCTACAGCTCCCTTCTTTGTTTTCAATAGACCAGAACCTTATTGGTCCCTTTCATGTCACTCCAAGGCTGGTCAATGCTTCCTTCGATGCTTGACTCATGTGGAAACCCAACTCCCGGTTCCCTGTCCCAACCAACACAGGCCCGTCCCAACCAACCGCAGCAGTGGTGAGTTCCCGGGCGGCGGAACCACACGGTTCGAGGCCGCGGACGGTGCGGCACCGGCGCCCTGGGGATGGCACTGTGGGAGACAAGCCATGGAGTCTCAGTGTTTCCATAGTACAGTTAGTTAGTGTTCTGTTGTGTTTTTTTGTTGATGTTTTTTGTATGGCCACCATTGGCCACCAAATTCTTTGGTCCAGAATCCAGAATTGAAAGGGAACAATTCTACAAGGGACATCCGTTTTGAGGATGAGAACCATGGGTTTCCTGTTTGAGTTTCCCTTCAACCTCTCCTGTTATATATTTGTTGCATGGAAACTATTTGGAGGGTGGACAGATTGCCCTTAAGAAGCAATATTTGGGGTATACGACTCGGGGTGTCCCTTTCCACGAAATCCATAGCCTACCTGGGAGTTGGAGCAACATCATACCAGAATGCTCCAATTGGTTTGTCCAACAAATTCCCAGCAAATACCCCCTACCATTAATTGTTATCCATTCTATATTCTAAGATTCAACTTTTTTTGGCATGTGTACATTACATTTGTTCGATGCACTTACCGTGAGAAACACCTACCTGGATGTTGATGGACACTCGCTCAGGAAGTCTAATAAAGTCAGTTGCCTACGCTACAAAACTTTCGCCTGAAAGAGTTTTATCTAAACTGTTGTCACCCTAACGACCGTAAACTCGCTACCAGGCTGACGTGCCAGTTTCACCACGACCCCCAATTCAAGATGGTTTTGAGACTCAGAGAACGACCGCTGCGCCAAGGACTGCTGGCGCATTCATATTGACGCATGGCGCCAAACAGCTTGGAAACTACGACGTCTGGCGCCACTTGCTCAAATTCTACTTCAAAGTATGGCCCCCTTCAATTAGCCAATGAAATGGTCTCCAACACATGTTTCATTCGATGGATTCGTCCTCGGGTCTGCGCTTCGCCGCTTCGGGACGACGCCAGTTTGCCGCCTGCGCATCCCAGTCGTCGAAGAAATCGTCCTGCCTGGCGCCACGTGCAGCGCGGGGTCCCTGGTGATCCGACACAAGCTCTGCAACTACATGAAGGCCCTGTAAGGCCCTCCCAAACATCACTTGTAAAGGCTCTTCATCTCATATATATGGAGGGTTGACATGTAATCAGTTCTATACAAGTTAGCACTTGTGGCTCAAATAAGGAGTACGTGTCTTTGGAACGCATCTAAACTGAGATTGGTGACAAGAGTTTGCGTTTGGTTACACCAACCCACAAACCTACAAGAACATGGTGATTGATTCTCACCAAAAACATCTAAAAACGGTCCCGGGTCTCCAGTTATTCTATCTAGAAACGACTACCTTGAACACCCCTCTGCAAAGAATGATAAGAACACCATGAGTTGCACAACACCACAAGAACACATATCTCTATTCCTAGAATCCGTTCAAATGTCAACAATTATCGAACACTACGGTTTTCCAAACCCTCTGCCACAGCCGCCAAGAGGGATTCCAGCCAGAATCTGCTTCCCGACGATCCTACCGACTAGTGCGGCTGGTAGGGACAACTGGCCAACAAAAATGTTTCTTGGAGACCCAGAACCGAAGTGCAGAAAAACATCAACCACGAACAACATAAATCACCACGAAAAACAAATCATGAACACCCATTCTGACTGATCGAAGCCATTCTGACCCCATGTCTGACTGGTGGATCCACCCATCGAACCCATGTCTGATCCAACCCATGTCTGACTGGTCGACCATGCCCCCCGCTCACGTCAGCGATCCGACCCCTTTCGATCCATTGGCCCCCGCCCCCCGGAGGGCAGCGGAGCAGCAGGTCGGCCGGCCGCCTGAGAGCGTGGTAGGTCGGCAGATGGAACGGTGGGACCTTGAAAAGGCGTGGTTGGAATAGAGCCCTAGGGATCCAGTCGTACCGAACCTCAGAAGGTACTTGGAGCCTCCTGGCACCTACAGAACAGTGTCTCCAAACACCTTCTGAGAAGGTACTTGGATTTGTAGGGGAGGGAAAGCACTCTGAAACCGGAGCTTTTCACACGGTGATTGGCAGATTTCGTGGTAGAGGCGCAGGATCTTTGTGAACCTCGAAGTGCAGATTCCGTAGACGTGATCGAGAAGGGGCACCGGAAGGTGTCAGACGCCCAAAGCCTCAGAAAAACAAATAAATCCAGGAGTTAGAAAGGGGTGGTGTTTAGTAGGTGGTGTTTAATCCCTAAGTGAGTGGATTATGGGCACCCCTAACCTCCATTAAGCACCCCTTTGGTCAGCCCTTTGGTGGAGTATCTTGATCCATGACAGTTTTACTGGATGGCTGAGCATGAAAACCGCGGGGCAACAAACAACTTTGGTCACGGTGGGCTGCATCCCCACTTCAATAGTTGACACAACATAGTCGACGAAACAAGCGAAACTGTATGAGAGTACAAACGTACAGCACACATACGAGGGCTCGGGCATGAGTGAGCACACGAGCATGAGAGCACATATTTTGAGAGCACAGGCATAAGAACACACATGTGAAAGCACACAGTGTTTGCAAACATATAATTATGAAACGTTCTCTCGCTTTTCCATGGCCAGTGGTTCACATGGCGC